ATATTAAAATATTTCTAATTATTGTAAAATCTTTGAAATAATCAATATTTTAGACACAATAATAATACCAATAACTGCAGAAGGTGTTACATGTTTCAAATGTTTTGCATCACAACCAGAACATGAAGAAAGTGATTTATTATGTTCTCAATTTGATGGAAGTTCTCGGTTTCAAGTGCATTGTCCTTCATCAACACTATGTAGAAAAAGAACTATTTATTCTAAATTTAAAAGTAAGTAAATTTTTACTTCATTTAAGATTGTAAATAAAAATGTATGTCCATTACATGTTTGTATTTATTGCTATATAATTTTTGGTAGCATCTGTAATCACAGTTGTAGAAAGAGACTGTGCACCTCAAAAACGTATAGTACCAATCTATAGTAATAATAAATGGCAAAACAGAGAAGAAATTGTGACAACAGCTTATAAGGAAGGTTGTTTTATTGGTGAAGACAAAGGAGCACCAGCAGGTCCACCAGAATATTGTTTTTGCAGTTATCATTTATGTAATTCATCACAATCAATTGAAACAATGAATGTATATCATATTTGTTTACTAATAATGATATTACTATTTGTAACATGACTATAAAAAGTCTTCTGAGTACTTATCATAGTAAAATAATTTTCTTCGGTATATGTGTACCAAAGTGTACAGAATATGATATTTGGTGTGTGTATGTATGTATGTATGTATGTATGAAAGTATGTATACACATACAAAGAGTGTTTCACCTAATTTTATTACCTAAAATACCTCTGTTATAATTGCTATAATTTCAAATATAAAGGTCGTATAAATAAAATTTTCTGTTTAATTTTCAATTCCACTGCGAAGTAATGTTCTGTTTAATCTTCAACTCTTGAGAACATTTTATTTGTTTATCAACATATTGTAAGTGTCCTTTGGTGACCTTGAAGGACTTAATGTTGTAGATCATTGAATTCGTCTTTGAAGTTGCTATTGTGTACAGATAAATAAAATATAGCGTTCCATTTAAAAAGAAAAAAACAAAGTTGAGCTTCTTATCTCATTAACTCTTTCCAACAAAATAAAACTGTTGTTACTATATGCTAGCCCCCACAAAACTGTGCCAATTTTGTGGGAAACATTTTTATGAAATGTTAATTATAGCAGAAATATTTTAGGTGATGAAATTAGGTAAAACACTCTGTATGTACGTATGTGTATACAGAGTGTTTTCTTTATCTCGCAAAACTGGAATATTTCGTGAGGGACTCAACCTATCAAAAAAATATTTCAAAGAAAAGTTGTTTGGTATGAAGGGGGACACCATATGGTGCAAATTATTTTTTTGCAGATCAAGTGGTGGTGGAACATTTCAAAGTCAAGTTCATTTTTTAAATGAAACCATATATATTTTCTTTTTTCATAGTACAATAGCATTTGTTTAGTCAAATTCAACGACCTGCCATATGAGGTAATTTATTGTTGTAAAATGTTATAAATTCATGAGTTCCTAAGGAGTCAAGTAGGCCTGAATCGCTGGTTGACGGCTATTAGTTTATTATTACACTTTTCTTATGCTTCTCAAGTTACTGAATGTTACAAATGTCAGTATGAATGCTGAAAACTTTCCTTTAATTAAACATTGGTAAATAGAAATTTATTATATATATATAGCTTGAGAAGCATAAGATGAGATAAACAGTTTGATGTTCATTTACAGCGTGTATCCTAATAGCCGTCAACCAGCGATTCAAGCCTACTTGGCTCCTTATGAACTCACGAATTTATAACATTTTACAACAATAAATTACCTCATATGGCAGGTCGTTGAATTTGACTAAACAAATGCTATTGTACTATGAAAAAAGAAAATATATATGGTTTCATTTAAAAAATGAACTTGACTTTGAAATGTTCCACCACCACTTGATCTGCAAAAAAATAATTTGCACCATATGGTGTCCCCCTTCATACCAAACAACTTTTCTTTGAAATATTTTTTTGATAGGTTGAGTCCCTCACGAAATATTCCAGTTTTGCGAGATAAAGAAAACACTCTGTATACACATACGTACATACAGAGTGTTTTACCTAATTTCATCACCTAAAATATTTCTGCTATAATTAACATTTCATAAAAATGTTTCCCACAAAATTGGCACAGTTTTGTTATTATTATTAATATTTGTAAAATTATAACAACCAGTATTTAACATGGATTGTGACGATTAATGTTTCTATTTTACAATTCTTAAGTACAAATGGAAAAGAATAGAAAAATTGAAATATAGTCTTTGTTATAAAATTTATGTATATTTATGTATATTAGACTTACAAGTGATATATATTATACAAGGTGGGACAATAACTTTATTCACTTTAAGTACTTCCGTTATTTGTAATAATATGAAAAAATGTTGTATACAAAACTTGCATGGCATGAAGGGAGATATATTGTGATGCAAATATTTTTTGCGTATGGGTAATGGCGTAGAAGACATTTCTAGGTCATCTCTACTTTTTTAAATGAGATGCTGTATCTTTTTTATCGTTGTTCTGATAGCCGGTGTTGAGGCGACTGCAGTAAGCTATCATTAAAGGCCATTCAAGGTCAAATGTGGTGGTAAAATAAATTTTCTTATATTACAAAAGATGTTCGAAGTGTTGACCCTTTGCGTCAATGTAAATACCAATCTTTGTATCGCTGAATCACGTACACGTTTTATTGTCTTTCAATTTATTCCAGCACATGCTGCAGTAATCCGTTGTCTTATATTTCCGATGTAGTCTGCATTTCTTGATAGATAACATTTTTTGGGTGCATTTGAGTACATTTAGATGAGTTTTCTCATAAATGAGCATCATATCCACTTGTTCTTCAAAAGAAAACTTCATCTTAATTATTGCGGTGATATTTGACTCAGCAATCAATTGATACTGACTACCGATGTTCCCACAATGTCGTAAATTGCCACAATGATTACATTCATAGCTGTATGTAATATATTATTAGAACGTAAACATTGCGACAAGACTATCTGTTTACATAAAAGTAAGAGTTAATGAATTACAGCATTTGCTAGAATTAATTTAATGACAATAAGACGTATCTGCGGATCCACAACTCGAAAGTGATAATAATTGTTTTGCCATCTTCAGTAACCTTCAATGACTTTTAATGATAGCTTGCTAAAATCGTCTCAACACCGGCTAAGACACAACGATAAATAGAATACAGCACCTCGTTTAAAAAAGTAGAGATGTCCTTGAAATTTTTTCTATATCTCCATTCACACAAAAGATATTTGCATCACAATATGTTCCGCATCATGCCATGCAAGTTTCATATACAACAGTTTTTCATATTATTATAAATAACGTCAATATTTAAGATGTACAAAATTATTATCCCACCTTATACACAAATAAATAAGCATTTGTATTGATTTGAAATTTATAACTTACCCCTGAATTATTTTCCACTAAATATAAAAAAACCACATCCTCTCTCATCAATCGAATAGCAGCATGTAATGGATATTTACTTTTGGTCTGCAACAATTTGTATAACAAAGAACCAGGCATTTCTTTAAAGTCTTCTCCTGTTAAGTCTTCCTAAAAATATGAAATTTTTATGAATTAATGTTATAATCAACATTTAATGTAATTGAATATTTGTCATTAATTATCTTACCCAATGTACTGAAATTAAAGAACTGCAATGCTCTTTTAATTTTTGAGCACCTAACTCTTCAGCAGCTGCGTACAATTGTACACAATCTTTAAGTCCCACAATTCCAATGAAATATTTCTCACATTGTTCAACCAATTCTGACAACTGAAAACTAGATGCTGCTTTCATTACATCTAATGTTATATTCTGTTGTAACACTTTTCCGGTATACATCCATTTCAACAAGACTAATCCAACATTAGGATCCAAATAAGTCCAATCTAAAAGTACATATATGGCTGGCACTACATTGTATACAATTTTCTTTCATATACTTCTGATAACCTTTTAACTTTTTACCTAAAATACTTTTTTCATGAAGTAATGAATCACTGAAAAAATCTGTTCTAGCAGACAAAACAAACTTATGTGCTGGCATTACATGATTACTTAATTTGATAGTTACATCACTAGAAAAGAAATAAGTATTTAATAACAGTAAAATTTAAAATATTAAATTATGTTTTAAAAGTTATAAACCTATAGCGATAGTCCCCATATAATGATGCTATAGTTGTTAAGAGTCTACCGATAAATCCAGTATCTTGTTTATTTGCAGTAACAATGGCATATTCTCGTTGAAGTTCTGTATTTGTATTGTATAAATTAACATACTGTTCTCGCAATAAAGATAAATGTTGCTGCCATTTTTGTGCTTCCATAGAATCTTCTAAAATAAATATGAAATGTAAAGTTTTCCTTAAAATACAAATAAGTATTCTAAACTTACCCATAATTATATGTATGAACAATTGTATTCACTCTTCTAGAATGTAGTGTAAAAATTATTGCATATCCGGCTTTTCACGCTAGTTCATATTTGTTCTGCATAATCTATTCTATACGAAAATAATAACAACTAGATAGTAATAATCAAAATTGTTAGTAGGAAACCTTTGAAAATAATGTCGATGTTTCGTTTACACTTAAAAAATATATTAATAACTTTCTAACACATATCGTACGCCCCCATCTAATATTCATTACATTTGCTACACATATATATACGTACACATTTTTACTTCTAAGGAAAATGTAGCCACACTTTTGAAAGACAGAAAAAATTCCTATGCAATTTAAACAAAAAAGTTGTAAATATCAGATATAGAAATATTACAGAAAATCAGTATTGTCAATAAGCAAATTTTTTGTATTATACTTTTTATATTCACTTGTTGGACTATATTTGATCCATAGATTTGTTTGTTAGAAACTACTAGAAACGTTTGATAAGGATCATTCCCCTAGTTTTAAACTAGTTACATTAATTACATATGTACCGTCCCAGCCCCTAAAGGTGGATACGCAAGGAAGAAGGAATCTCCAATCTACCGGCCTTTAAACACCGTGCCTTCTCGATGGGAGAGACAGGACATATGTATAGTGATGAGGAGGAAAAGAAAAGGCGTTTCGTTTTGGGATTGTCTACTACATTTACGTAGTGCAGTTGATGCAGACGTCCCCCATTCACGACACCTGGACTATTGAGATTTAGAATTGATATACAGGGTTGTCCACTTACTCAGAACCCGCACACGCTAGAATAGTGAGAATGGCAACAACGCTACAAGTATGTATTCTCAATACTGCAATCATATGTTGATACATCTGTTATGTACGAGTTGTTGTTATTGTTACATGCTAGTAAACGACGTAAGGTGCTTTTAGCTGCCATGAGAGGACTTTAATTTGACGTAACAGATGCGAAAAAGAACAATAATCATTTTACTCTCGTACAGATAAGCGAGTATTGCTAGTGCCCTATCATGAGTTGTACACTATAAATATTAACTGTACATCCTGTTGCGTGGGTCATTGATGGCACACGTAAGTAGCTTGAACGGAAAGTCACGTAAATATATCTGTGCACAGAACGTGTTAATACGTTCGCTACCACCGAAAGTCGTAAAGCTACAAGATCAAACGTGCCTCGTAGTTCGTTACTCGCTTCACTTGAATGCGTTTCGAAACGCTATAGCAGCAGTAGCACTGGATGTATAGTCGTGGACAGAAATATATGGACACTTTTCAAAATAGAGTGACTTTTTTAAAATTGGGCCAAACGACTTGAGTTTTTTTAAGAAGTTAGAAGGACTAGTTTACTAGATGACGTGTAAATAAATTTTGAAAAAATTGCAATTTGTGGGAATCGCGAAGAAAATTGTAAAGGTCACTGTTTACAACTTTTTTATCTGGACTTGTAATGCAAATTTAAAACATACGTTTTGTAGATCTTTTTTTTTTTTACGTAGAGGAAATCTTCGAAAGACACCTCCGCCCTCTGGGGAAGGGGACGGAGGTAGTGTGGGATTTTTACCCACTAAAACCTCCACGACTGCCCTCGCCGGCGTTGCGACCGGCCCTGGGAACCCTTATGGACACTTCCGGGGTACGGCCACGCCTATCTTCAGACCTGGCCCCTGGGAGAGGCTCTACCGCCCTCTCCCTTAAATCCTAACTTGGCGGAACGGGGGGGGCAGTGCCTCGCTCCGCCCCTTCCCGGTGACCGCGTGCAATGGCGACCGGTTCCTCCAACCGTCCGCTGATGACTGGACATCAGGTCGCCCGCCCAAATTGGTGACCCATATAGGATCATCAACCGCACCACCCCCACAAAGAGGCGGCGAACGTTCCCTCCTGCCCCCCTCCCCCCAAATTGGGTAGCAGATGGCATAAGACTACCGCCGCTTTTTCTACCCGGGGTACCAGGCGGGTAAAATGTGCCTCGAAGCGCCATTTACCGTTGATGATGAGGCCCAAGTATTTTATCTCAGGCCTTATCTCGACGACGGACCCACCAACCAGCATCCGGCACCAGAAAGGCCCCTTCCGCCAAGACCCCGTGAATCAAAGAGCCTCGGTCTTATAGGGAGCGATCTCCAGGCCCAACCGCCGGATGTGCGACACGACGCAGGCCACCCCCATCTCCGCGAGATGCAGAGTCTTGCTGAATTCCCGCCCGGCCGTCAACACAAGCGTATCATCTGCGTAACACGTCACGCTGACGCCGGGCGGGAGTGCTGCCCTCAATATGTAATCGCATGCAACGTCCCATTGGATGGGTCCTAGGACCGACACCTGCGGGACGCCGCAATAAACCCGTCTCTCCCTCCGCTCGCCTCACCAGCCCGGGTATTCTATGCACCTTTCCGACAGATAGGTCCCGATCACCCTCCTCAGGTAGAGGGGCACCCGGTGGTAGATAAATGCCTCCTTCAAACCTCCCAGGACAGGGTGTTAAATGCATTGACGATATCCAAAGATACCGCCAATGCCACCCGACCCCGGGATACGACGGCCTCCGCAAGCGCCCAGACGCGGGAAATCGTGTTCAATGTCGATCGCCCTCTGCGGAAGCCAAACTGCTCATCACTCAAATCGAGACCCACGCCGGACAGGTGCCCAACGAGGCGTGATGCTATCACCCTCTCGAACAGATTTCCCGCCTCGTCGAACAGACATATGGGCCTGTACGCGGAGGGAGAGTCCTTTGGTCGGCCCTCCTTTCGAATGAGAACCATTCTCCTTCGCCAGCACAGAGGCGGTGAACAGCCCCGACCGCAGGCATGCGTCAAACACATCCCGCGGGGCCTAAGGACGCCCAGGGCCAAGGTCCAGGCTTGGCCGGGTGCACGCAGCGGTGCTCCTGGCCGCCATCTTTTTGATGGACCCGGCTAGCTCCCCCTCCGTAATACCCAGATCGGCGGTCCAACCTCCGTCCGCCGATTCCTCAACCTGAGGCTGCGGCTAAGTTCCCCTAATGGGGAACAAAGTGTCCACAACCCGGTTGAGTACTTGGGGGTCTAAGCTCTCCGTGACTGGGCGTGCCCAGGGACGCATCTTCCCCCTCACCAAGCGATATGGACGTCTCCAGGGGTCCCGGTCCAGATAGGTTAGGAGCTCCATCCATGCCTGGGCCTTAGCCCTTGCAATGGCCAGCTGCAGGCCTACCTTAACCTCCTTGTAGGCCTCGTACAGCTGTGCTGTCGGAGTATAGTCGCGCCTTCCTCTTCAGCGGGTTCTAGCCTACCGGCGTCTCCTAACGGAGTACTCCGAACGGAGATCCGCTATCTCCTGAGACCACCAGTACGCGGTTCGCCTTGGGTGGAGTCTTGTCCGAGGCATTGCGGCGTCGCAAATGGACGTCATCGCCCGCCGGAATCACTCCGACCCCTCCCTGGCACGTTTTGTAGATCTATGTCAATTATACACATGCTGAAAATTTCATCGAAATCGGTGGATAGAGAAACAAGCGACAGGCATCGAATGATGTAAGAATCTGCAGATTTATTACAGTTTTACGCCGAAAGTCGTGATAGTGCGATTTTCACAATCTTTAACCGTTTGTAGCTCATAGCAACATTAACCGATTTCGATGAAATTTTCAGCGTGTGTATAATTCACATAGTCTACAAAACGTATTTTTTAGATTTTCATTACGAGTTTACGAGCTCAGATACAAAAGTTGTAAAAACGACCTTCGCTATTTTCTTGCGATTCCGACTAATTGCAGTTTTTTTTTAAATTTATACAAACGTCGGAATGACGACAAAAAAACATTTCTCTAAGCCTTATAAAAATAGCGGTGCAAAGTCAAATTTTTTTGACAGCGATCGATAACTGAAAAGTCACGCGTACGCGTCGTTCGCGATAGCGCGCGGGTGAATGTCTGTTCGCTCGTCCCTGAGCGCGGGCTCTACGCGCGCTCTGAGTGGCCAGTGTTTTTCGTTAATAATTCAAAAGCGAAGCTTCAACCAACATTTTGGTCAAGGAAAAAGTTGTTCAGAGTCACCCCAGCAACCCCCCATTTCCGGGTGTTACACTCTTTATGGGACACCCTGTATTGTTACGTTATCGCGTAAACCTAGTTTTAATCGCTCGTCGTGCATGCTCGTGAATGTGGCTTTAGGGCGGTTTTAATCTAGTGTTATGTGGCTCATGTGGTGTCCTGTAGTGTGAACGCTAAAGTGCGCCGAATTCAAATTGTGCAGCGATGTAACCGAAGCAATGAACAAAAGAACTCGATAACATATGCATATAATGTACTATAAAATTTCATTGATTACTGTTTGCAATTACTCGTTTAGATAAATGTTCATCGTCGTCGCTGTGCACAGAAACATTGCTGAGGTGTAAAGCACTCACTTTAAAGGAAATATGTATTAATAAACAAATGAAGAGTATCAATCAAATCGATCCTCAAATAATCTTATATAGAATCTTTAATTTAATTGGAGACTATTGTTTAACAAAAACATGTTAACATTAAATTTGGATATCGACGACGTCTGAAGATTCATTCGTTTTTCCTCGCTCAAAGAGTCTAGACGTATTACTTCGTAATAAAAGTTATAGTTAAAACATTTCGTTTATCCTTGTTCTTACCAAGTTATTTATTGTTCTATAAAAGATTCAACATTTGATTTTCTCATTCATTAAATTTACTAAACGATCGCGAGCAGAGCGCCTTGGCGCTCCACGAGCGACACTTCCTTCAAATTCCCCAAGAACCCACGTAACAATATTATTGTTTCCTTCTTGTTAGTAACATTTTAGGAGCATTGTTCATATCTGCACAGTGCATTCACTGACTGTGTAAATGGGGTAAAATATAATATGATGAATATAATATAAAATCAAGTAATTCAATAAAATAATGAATGCAATGCATAAATACAGTTTAAACTATGATATATATTATAGGTTAGATCCAAACTATAAAAGGTATTTGTTATAAATTGATAACATAAATAAATTCATATAAAGTTACTACTATTGTTTTATCAATATTACGAAACTATTTTAGTTTTCAAATTATAAACGTAAACCTTCGTATGAAAATCAACGTTAAAATGTTTTAAATGTTTCATATATTTGTATATATGTAAATCAACCAATAAAATTATATTTTAATAATGTAAATTATAATTGTATCTTTAATTATATTAAATGAAGTAAATATCACAATTTTCTGATAGAAATGGAAATAAATCAGATTAATGATATTTCTTCCAATGAAGATATACATAAATTATTTGAAATTTGTGCTTCAACAATAACTAAAGGAGGTATTTATGAACTAATTCATATATTGCACAACTTCAGATTATAATATTTGGTATTTATCACTTTTCATTTGATTGCAATCTTTGTTGTCTAATTTTTATGATAATTCACATGTAATATATGTCTAAGTTTTTCTTAACAAATACATCTATGCTGTATAAATTTATTACATTATTTTTTAACATAAAATAATTGGATAAATGAAATAACAAAGAATATGTACTTCAAACTTGACAGAAATACTTCGTAAACTTCAAGATTATAATCAATCAAAGTTATCAATTGGAATGTTTTTTGAATTCATGAAACTTGCATATGAAGTTAATGATAATTGTGAAAGTTTGACTACAATATTAACTAGGGGAAATAAACTTAATTGGAGTAAATTAGCAAAAGTTAATTTACATTTTGAAACACAGAGTTATAATATTACTGATGAAAAATATATTAATAGTGATGTCATGCAGAAAAATAAAAGTGCTAATATAACAGAAGAATTTTTATCTGATACAAATGATACCGATATTAAAAATTCTATGTATTCTATTGCATCTTCAAGTGTACCATTTAAAAATGAACACATACATGCTTACGATCAAAATTCAATAAATGATTTTGAAAGATGTAATGATATTACGCACAGTACATTAAATGTAAAAGACACAAAGATTGCAAAGTCTTCAGATATGACAGAAAATTTTTTAATTACATTAATGAAGACAAATTTAAGTGATATATTACATGAAGGTTTATTAGATTCAGTTTTACCATACATGATTCCAAAACCTATCATATCACAGCCAATTATTAAGAAATCTATCACCAGTACTGAAGCAAAGAAAAGCAATTCCTTGAGTAATACTATAGAAACACGAGCAATTACAAATATTACACATAAAGAAAAAGATAAAAATAAAACGAGCAAGAAATCATCTGAGTAAGTGTACTAGTAATTAATGTTAATTTAAATTAAAATTAATATTAATGTTAAAAGTAATTTTATAGACTTAATGTTAGTTTATTCTATACTTGTACAGAAATGAAGTCGAAATTCATGTTTGTGACGAAGAGAAAAACATTAAAAAAAATTTTCACTGTCCTCAGAAACTTCTTATTCAAAAAATGCGTTATTTTTCTGATGTGACAGCTGGTCAAAAATTAGAAGAAATAGATATATCAGTTCATTGTGATATTACAATTTTTGACTGGTTAATGAGATGGGTAAAGAAAGATGTTATAAAAAAGACTGAATGGCCAGTTTTGGAAGCTAATAATGTTATTCCAATAATGGTATCTGCATCATTTTTACAAATGGAGCCACTTCTAGAAAGTTGTCTGCAATATTGCCATGACAATATGTCTGATATATTAAAAACATCAACAGTTTTAACTGGTTTAGATGATAACCTTTTAACAAGGTATTTTACTTCTATATATTTTCAAATATTTTAAATATTCAATTTGCAAAAAAATTTA